CTGACTTCAAATCTAGGAAGAGACCATTTCCTAACTTGACATTTTAAAGTGAGACTCCTGGATGCCTGTGCGAGCCTCCTCACTGTAACTCCCACACCAGTATTTCATACACCTCAATTGCCTCTGGTCCAGTGCGGTACCCAGCGCATGGCCAAGACTTAATCAACACCTAGTAGGAGACAGTAAGAACACAGACTAGGGACAACGTCTAGCTCCGTCACTTGGTAGCTGTGTGCCTCTAGACAATTTCCCTACCCTCTCTGGATTTTCATTCCAGACTGTGTGATGGGAAATATACTAGTACCTATCTCATAGACAGAGACTAGACACATGAGCTTTTATAGGAATGCCTAGCCCATGCGAACACTTCATTAGCTGTTGTTACTGGATCACTAATGACTAAATGGAAATCCAAATCTGCCTGCTAGAACTTTATAATGAATCTTTTCAATCTCGTTCCATTTGGTCGATGTTGATCAACCCCTTCTCTACACTTGATTTCCATATAAAACAATCATGTCTTTTTTCTCTCATTCCAACAATTTAAAGAAGTTTTAAAAAATAATTATTTTATGCCTATGGGTGTTTTGCCTACATGTATGCCTGAGCACCACATGCCTGGCACCTGTGGAGGAGAGAAGCAGGTGTTGAATTTTCGGGAACTGGACAGATAGTTGTGAGCAGCCGTGTGGGTGCTGTGAATTGAACCTGGGTCCTCTGGAAGAGCAGCCAGTGCTCTTGAATGCCGAGCCATCTCTCCAGCACCTCCAGCATAAGGGAAACAAAAGCAAATGGCTGCGGATAGTCCCAGATGTTTTTGATGCAAACCAGGGTCCAGCTGCAGGGGGTGGTTAGAGGGATTAGCTCTTGTGGGCTGAATCTGCACATCCAGTGCTCTTTTCCAAAGACAGGACATTGAGGATCTGCGGTTTCCCTGACCCAGCAGGACCTTGGAAGACATTGCTGTTTGGAAGTCAGGATCCTTTTGGGAGTAGGGGTGTCTTTTCTAAAGAGAACTAGGGGAAGGTATATTATTTACCAGCTTGTTGTGGCCTCATGTTGATGGTTGGTATTCACATCTTGGTATTTTTTGTATGTCTAGAAAATGCTCTTTGGATGAAGCTTTAAGTTTGATCCTGAACAGTGCATAAACTGGGCTTGGTGGTGCCTGCCTGTAATCCTAGTACTTAGGAGGTAGAGGCAGGAAGATCAGATGTTTGGTGCCTTCATCCTCTACATATCAAGTTTGAATCCAGCCTGGGTGACATAAGACCCTACCAAAACAAACACGGTTATCAGTTTTTAGAAAGGACACATTGAAGAACTTACTTCCTGTGGTGGTTTGAATAAGAATGGCCCTCATAGACTCATATATTTGAATGCTTAGGGTGTGGCCTTGTTGGAATATGTGTGGTCTTGTTGGAGGAAGCAAGTCACTGGGGGGTGGGCTTTGGGGTTTCAAATGCCCAAGCCATACACAGTGGTTCCTTCTCTTTTCTGTTGCCTGCCAATCCAGATGTAGAACTTTCAGCTCCTTCTCCAGCACCATGTCTGCCTGTGTGCCACCATGCTTCCCACCATGACAGTAATGGACAGAACCTCTGAACCTGTAAACCGACTCCAATGAAATGTTTTCCTTTATAAGGGTTGCCATGGTCATGGTGTCTCTTCACAGCTTTAGAAACCCTAAGACACCTCCCTTTTGATTGTAGTGGCCAAGAATTAAAACAGAATAAATGGTTATCAGTAAGGGAATGACTCAAGAGCTGTGGTACCTTCCTACCATGATTCATAAAAGAACCAGTACAAGGATTTTATAAGTCTATAAAATTGTAACTATAGTAGGAAAACGAAAGGGGAAGGGATGTATACAATATTTGTTAAACAAACAATATTCAATCTAGAGGGAGCCAAGAAGTTAGCACTGTATGTAGGCCAGGGTTCTGTTACAAGAGCTGCATTTTAGCTCACAGCTTTCGATGTTTCAGCCCATGACCTACTGCCTCCACAGCTTTGGAACTGTGATGGCATTGTGCCTTATGGTGGGAGCATGTTGGGGAGGAAACCTTTGACCTCATGGTCCCCAAAGTGAGAGAGAGGGAAAAGGGTCTGGAGATGTGTTACCTAACACCGAAAGAGAGGAAGAGAAGGGAGTCCTAAAACCCCCTTCAGGACACCCGCCAGTGACTTGGCCTCCTCCCTCTAGGCCCCAACTCTTAGAGGCTTTACTACATCCCAATAGCACGGTGGGGCTTGAGGCCTAAGCCTTTAATACCTCAGCTTTAAGGGACTTATGAACCAAACTATGGTTGTGAGCTCCCTGGTAAATAAACAGAGATGAGGATGCTTATTTGGGAGGGTGGAGTGAAGGGAAATAACATAACAATATAATGTCATTTGAATAAATTATCTCTGCATGCACTTGCATAAAGAAGTGAACAAATATCTGTGGATAAATGAAGAGAATCAAACTGAAGAACAAGACTGAGCTCCTGGGCCAGTCTAGGAAAGGCAAGGGCTGGGCTCCAGAAGTGGAAGCATTTACCCAACAGATTAGTGTGGCTGCAAGTCAGGGACGCCGGTGAGAAGTGGGTGGCCGGGCACAGACAAGCTGCTCAGCAGTCACAACTGTCACCTTGAAGTGTGTGCGGTGCGACGACAGTCTCCTGATTTTTCAAAGTGAAATAATTATGTCCCCATTTTCCGGATGAGGAAAAACAATTGCATGTCACTGAAGGTGTCACACGGAATAAGTGACGCCAAGACCCAAGTCCAGGTCCGTTTGCCTGCAGAGTCCCAGCTCTTTAAGTGTCAATTATTGTGGCCACAGGTTGGAGCCTGGAGGGGGGGGCTGGCATGCTCTGATCATAGCTCAGAGTTCTGCAGGATCCTCTCTCACAGGTGTGTTTTGCTATTAAAACTACCCAAGTCACCATCCAGTAACTGTTTCCTGTGTGTACTTGCTGACCTGGTCTGTGTGTGCGCGCGCGCGCATGCGCGCAGCAGCTGCTTGGGACTTTGTTCTCAGGGAAGCAGACTGCACAGCAAAGTAGGGCATCTTGCTGACCTACCTTAGGACAGGTGAGAGCGGACGCTCGTTAAAAAGGAGCACACTGTTACCGAGTGTGACACCTGGACCCAGAACCATCTCATCAGCTACTTGGGGGGCAAGTAGCAAGTGCCTGGTCTCTCCTGAGGCTCTGTCTTCCACCTCTGCTTGCCGTACCCCAACCCCACAAACTACAAAAGAACTAACAAGAGTGGCTTGTTTGGTGGCCTGGTCGTGGGCTTTTTGTACAAATTACTGTGTGCCTTTGTGGTCAGCAAAAGTGCCCCAAAGGGAGTCCTTAAGGTTAAAGTCACAGTTCTGCAAAATGATGTCACCTGGGATGGTCCCTTCTATTTCCTTTTCCTTGGTTCCTCATTCATAAAGAGGGAATATGATTTTTATCCTTCTAGCCATTAAATGATGATGTACAGGGGGCTGGAGGGTGGGAACGGGAGGAGCTCTGGGGCTTGTTGGCCGTTAGTCTGGTTCTAGGTTCAGTGAGAGATCCTGTTTTGAGGGAAGCAGGTAGATAGTGACAGAGTAGGGCAGTGAGACATCGATCGTCTTCTGGCCTCTGCATGCATGAATGGGCATGTATACCCTGCACACACATGCCCACATACCACACACACACACACACACACACACACACACACACACACACACTCTTTCTCTCCCTCTCACGAGTAAAATATCTATAAAATATTTGTATTTTTTAAGTAATAGAAGATGTACTATACACTAGAAAGGCAAGGCCAGGAATGTGCATCAGGTTTAGGCAGGAACAGCAAGCTGATGCCACTGATGATGGTGACTTTGGTGTTTAAATCTGGATGTGTCCAACGTGATGAGACTACTCTTTCTTGGGTCTTTAACGATGGCATTGGTGACTTCCGGAAATAGGCTTGTTTATAAAAGTTGACTGTGCTGCAGAGGCTGGCTGACCGCAGGGACGCCTGCCCTGGGCCCCTCTGCCCGCTCTGTGGCAGATGGCCGCCATTTCCCTGGTGAGATTCCGCCAGCTGGCACCGGAGTTACTGGCTGCCGCCTTCCTTTACTGCCTGCAAATGTCCCCACAGATCTCAGGAGCGGGAGAGAATGAGGAGGAAGTGTGCTGCAGGCTATGGTCTCCATTCGAAGGTTTAGAACGAGGTCTGCCTGCCCAGGGCCAGCACCTGCACCTATGCGTGGCTCTTTGTCTACAAGTTGTATGCTGAACCTCCTGGCCATAGACAGACTGGTTTTCTAGAGTCTGGGTTCATCCGTCTGGAGGTCAGGGTCTTTCCAGTCAATGATTGTCGTCATTGTCTTTGTGAACAGTGACATTGTGAGTTCCTTACAGGTAGAAACTAGGTTGCTGGTAGCCTTCCAGTGTCTGGTGTATAGTAGGAAGACACAGACATGCTTTTCCTGTGGGAACCTCAGCTCTGGGAGTAGACAGCGTGAAAGCCATTTTTGGGAATGATTTTCTTCTTGTTCTCTGCATTCCTCTGTCCAGGCTCAAGTGTGGGGTCCATATCCCCCATCTTTATTCCTCTTTGTCCTTATTTTTCTTAGAAAGTGGCTTCACCTGGCCGGCCTATCATGCCAAGCCAGGCCCTGACCACATACCCTCTCCTCCAGGCAGTCTGATAGGAGATGCTGGAAGCATTTCGTTGGTTCTACTTTGAATTAGTAGATCAGCCAGCCTCGGAGTGGAGCTTGCCTGTATCCCGGGAGCTGTTCCCATGAGGACCACAGAGTCTAGACAGCATAGTTTACCTGGAGCCAGGGAAGACAAGAGCTGACCTCTTGGTGGGCCCCCAGACAGACACGGGTAAAAGGATGTCCTTTAAGGAAAAGAAAAAAAAAGGAATCCACCCAGATGGAATGATGAGAGGAATGATATCACGGTTGGCATGACAACGGCAGGGCCATCATAATCTCCCCACAAGGTGGTCAGAATCCCAAGGGAAGGCCGAGTTTCACTGCTCATCTCACTTTGGGACAGGCAGGAGTGGTATGGGATGGAGGAGGGGCTGCTTACTCAATGGCCACAGCAGGCCTGGGGACCTGGACTTTGTCCCCAGAGCTGCTTCCCGGCTTTGACAATCTCCCAGGGGTGCTGAGTGCCACCTCCAAGCATTTGAATGCCGTCCATCTACTATCCAGCATGGCATTGGAGGAGCGGCCAGAGAGACAGGGCAGAACAGCAGAGCAGGGGCTCCATGGCTGGAGAGTGGAGATGAGACAGAAGACGGTTTTATGGGATTCTGTAAGAGTCCTTGAGCTGTATCCTCAGCTCCTCCTTCCCAGGGGCTCCAACCTCTTTGGATAAATGTGCCACTGGCCTCCGGTCTCTAACCTGCTTTCTCTGGAGTTCTGCCACAGGTGGTATGGAGCTGGGTCCAAACCACGTAAGTTGTACTAATTTCAAAGCCCCTTGTTCCCCAAACCAAGAGAGACAAAGGTTCAAGTGACTCCTTGGTCATGAAGATGCTGTGACGAATGCTGTCTCAGGCAGGTGCTTCTCGATCACAGAGCAAGGATTTAGATGTCCAAGAGTTGAGGGGTCATGAACTTTGGGGTTGGTATCCTGGGGGCTTTTCTCACCTCTGCCCATGTGGTGACTGTGCCTAGGTTGGGCCTGGTTGGTGACAATCATACCTGCTTGTTTAGCTTTCTGGACTCTGGCACTTTGGGGTTTTGGAAGTGGGAGGGGTCATGAGGCTGGATGTTTCAGCTCCTTCTCCATTGTGGAGCCTTACACCTTGGCTGCGGGCTTGGGAAGCCATATCAGAGTCTCTCTAGCAGCAGGCTCTTCAGTTTCTATCGTGGATATCTCAGCAACACCCCAACCCCCAACCCCTGCCCCCACCCCGCCCTGTTCCTTTTGCCTATCGTAACTGTCTTAGTTAGGGTTTCTATTGCTGTGAAGAGACACCATGGCCGTGGCAACTCTTAAAAGGAAAACATTAAATTGGGGGCGGGGGCGGGTTCACTTACAGTTGCATGGTGGGAAGCATGGTGGCATGCAGGCAGACGTGGCCCTGGAGAAGGAGCTGAGAGGCCTACATCTTGCAGGCAACAGGAAGTTGACTGAGACACTGGGCAGTATCCTGAGCATAGGAAACCTCAAAGCCCGCCCTCATAGTGACACACTTCCTCTAACAAGGCCACACCTACTCCAACAGAGGCATACTTCCTAATAGTGCCATTCCCTATGGGATTATGGGGGGGGGCAATATATCCAAACTACTACAGTAACTTTGTAAAGTGAACTTAATTATTATTTAATTGTTTGATTGATATTAAAATTCACAATCAAAATTCACAATCAAACTCAACAGTTCTAAAGTGGTTACGATATTGTGGATCCAGCATACGCTTCCTCATTCCCCTATCCACTGAAATCACTAATTTACTATATCTGCCATTGTGAATGAAGTTCCTCTATTCTAGATATTTTATATAAATGAAACCTCACAATATATGTGACCTTTTGTGTCTGCCTTATTCCCCTTAGCATGATGTTTTCAGTGTTCAGCCATATTGTGGCATGTAGAAATATTCCATTATTTTATGGTTGAATAGTATTCTGTTGTGTGGAATCACATTTTACATATCTATTCATTGGTTGGTGGAGATTAGGATTATTTCTACCTGTTGGCTCTCATGAATGATGCTAAAATGAATCTTTTTACATTTGTGTACATCTTTTCTGTGGACATGCTCCCTTCCCTTTGCCCTTTCTTATTTATGTACATGTGTGTGTGCACCATGTACATATAGGAGCCTGTGGAGACCGGAAGAGGCCTTTGAATCCCTTGGATCTGGAGTTACAGGCAGTTGTGAGCCACCATATGGGTGCTGGACCTTGCCAAGAGCAGCAAATGCCCTTGGTCTCTGAGTCATCTCTTCAGCCCTATAGTTCCTTTTTTGGGATAAGGTCACTTTGTCTGGTCTGGAACTCAATATACAGTCCAGGCTAGCCTCAGATTCAATCCTCCTGTGATAGCCCCTGAGTCTTGTGCTCAGGATTACAGTCTTGTGCCATCCCATGTGGTTCAGAACATATGCTTTAAATTCTACCGAATAACACGTAGCTGAACAGAGTAATAACTCCACGTGTGACTTTCTGAGGGGCTGCCTGTTTTCCATAGTGTCTGCTCTACTTCCCATCCCCACCCAAATACATGAAGGTCTCGTTTCTCTAAACCTTGGCTGATGCTTGTGACTGCCTGCTCTTCCTTGAGTGTGTGTGTGTGTGTGTGTGTGTGTGTGTGTGTGTGTGTGAATGAATGTGTGTAGGTGTGCACACCCATGTACACGAAAAGGCCAGAGAAAGCTATCTGGTGTCTTTTTTTCTTTGTTGCTCTTCACCTTATTCCCTTCTGACAGGGTCTTTCACTGTGCCCAGATTTTACCATATTCTGTTTCCAGCTAAACTGGTAGCCACCAAGCCCCACCAATCCTCCTGTCTCTGTCCCTGGTAGCAAGTCTTCCTCTGTACCGCCAGCTCCCAAATAATGACACGGAGACTTATTATTAATTATGAAAGCTTGTCCTTAGCTGAGGCTCGTCCCACTAGCTCTTATAACTTTAATGAACCCATTTATTTTAATCTATGTTCTGTTGCGTGGCTCGTTAACTCATCTCTCTGTACTGCTCATGCTGCTTTCTCTGTCTCTGGCTGGCAAACCTGCCTTTTTTCTTCCCTGAGTCCTCTCTGTCCCCAGAAGTCCTGCCCAATCTCTTCCTGCCTAGCTATTGGCCATCCAGCTCTTTATGAAGCCAATCACAGTGACACATCTTCACACAGTGCAAAGGAATATTCCGCAGCAGTCCCCTCCAGTGCTGGTGTTACAGGTGCTTGTGGCCATGCCCAGATTTCTTATTTTTGAGATTATAATTACATTTCTCCCCTCTCCGCCTCCAAACCCTCCCACACACTCTCCCCCACTCTCCTTCAAATTCATGACCTCTTTTTCTGTTAATTGTGATTGTATGCATATATGTATATACATATATATTCCTAAATACTACCTGCTTGGTTCATACAGCATTACTTGTATGTTCTCAGGGCTGACCATTTGGCACTGGACAAGCAATTGGTGTGCTCTTCCTTGGGGAGGACCCCCTTTCCCACTCCCAGCTTCCCTTTGTTGCCTATAGGTCTTTGTGTAGGGTGGAGGCCTGGTGGGCTTTTCCCCATCCACTTTCACATGTCCATTGGTGTCCTTGTTCAGTTCACATGTGGGCAGTCATGTTGGTGAGACTTTATGGGTGTAGCTTCTAATGTTACTAGGAGACACGATCTCACAGCAAACTCCCTAGTCCTCTGGCTCTTACAGTCTTTCTGCCTCCTCTTCCACAATGTTCCCTGAGCCTTAGGTGCAGGAGTGTTTGGTAGATGTATCCCTTGGGATTGGGCTCAACAACTCTATATCTTGATTGGTTGTGATTTTTTTTTATAGTGGTCTTCATCTGTTGCAAAGAGAAGTTTCCTTGATGAAGACCACACTTGAGTGAAGACTACACCGTGGGCATAATATTTATAGATTGTTGTTAGAGAGTATGCTAGTCCTAGCAAAGTAGTGGTTATAGATTCTCCTCCTATAACCATGACTCCACACACTGAGTAGTTAGCTAGGTTTCCAGCCACAGGCATGGGCTTCCTCTTTCCGAGCAAGTCTTAAGTCCAATTAGAGAGCTGTTGGTATACCAAAGTATGCATGCCACTTCTGCATCCCCAGGATCATCGTGCAATGCTGGGCATGGATATGGTTCATAGGCATCATAGCTGGGTAGGATTGTTGGTTGCCTTCCTCCTTAGGAAGCTTGTATGGTACCTTCTGGTACCATGAAAGTTAGTTTTCAGGGAGGGAGCATTCAGGTCATTTCCAGCTCAGGGCCTGTGGGCCCTGTGTCTGAAGGGCATTATGTCTTCACTGTGCCCAGGTTTTTATGTGGTTCAGGCATCTGAACTCAGATCCTCTTACTTGCTGAACTCTCTCTCCAGCCCCAGTCTGCCCTTTTGAATATACCCATCCTAGTGGGCATGAAGAGGTATTTCACTATGGTTTTAAAAAGTACATGTATGTATCTACTTGTTTATCTATATGTATATGAGTGTTTTGCCTGCATGTATGTCTGTGTACCACATGCATGCTTGGTGTCCATGGAGGCCAGAAGAGGGCATTAGATCCCCTGGGACTAGGGTTTCAGACAGTTTTGAGCAGCCATGTGGGCGCTGGAAATTGAACCCAGGTCCTCCTGAAGAGCAGCTAGTACTCTTCACTGCTGAGCCATCTCTCCAGCCCCTTCATTATGGTTTTGATTAGCATTTCCCTAATGACTAGGGATGCCGAGTATCTTTTCACATGCACATCGGCCATTTGTCTATCTTTTTGTATTATGCATACCCATTCAAATCTTTTGCCCATTTTCAGTTGTCTTTTTGGTGTTGAGAAGTGAGTTTATTGAAACTTACCATTGTTCCCCCCACCCACACTCTAGCATAGTGCCACCAACCTGTGATGAAGGAGGAGTTTAAATGGGTCGTCTGAAAGCAGGTTTTAATCTTTGCCTCTTTGATTGCTCAAGCGTGCTTAGGAATCTCCCCTTCCCTCACCCGACTTTCTGTCCTTGATCAGTCTTGCTTTGCAGTTGGTCCCCAGCTAATCTGCTCTGTGCTCATGGCATTATTTTCTATATGTACGTGGATCATTCCTGTATGCATATGTCTGACCCTCTTTGAAGCTCTCTCTCTCTCTACATACATAAGCATACATACAGCAGGACCCTCAGCATGCTCATAACTCAGCACATTCCTTTGCCAAGTCTTCACCCCCCCCTCCCCCGTTGGATTCTCCATCAACATCTACCTAATCAGCCAGAGGAAGTCCTCATGGATTTCTTCCTCTGAGCCACATTTATTTACCAAGTCCTGTCCATGTACTCCTTTCAATGTGTCTGTATCTCTGCCCTCATGCTCTGACTGACATGGGCCAGGTCTTTGTCATTACAACTAGGCTCTCCAGTTTTGAGCATCTCTCATTCACCCGCTCTCTGCATGATCTGATCCTTGTCATCTTCAGCCTCTCCCATGATTCCTTTGCCTGAGGACAAACTTGATAAGCATACCACCCTTCTAACATGGCTACAACCTCTTTCTGAAACCCCACGGTTCTCTAAATATTCTCCTCTTCGTCCCTATTATAGCCACTAGGAATTCCATGTGGCCACTTGAATGATTGTTCCTACTGCCATACATGGACTGTTGTGAGCTGGCATGAGTTTCATGAATGTGGCTGGGGACAGATTTCCATTGTGGCCCAAGCTAAATGCTACTTTGGATAGAGAACCTGGTGACTGTGGATTGGGTATGAGTTTTGATTCAACAATTTCCTTATGT